TTAAATAACTGAGGAAACTGCAGTACAGAACAGTCAAATAACTTTTGCAAGTTACACATTTGAAAAATGATGCAGTGGGAATTCCGATCAAACCCTCCTGGCTGTCAGTATTGCATTCCCAGTCCTGCTGGCTTGCTGGTCTCATCTTTCACACATCACACACACACACACACCACCCCCGCCCCAGCCCCTTCTTCACAGCAAACACGTATTCAGAGACTGTTTCCTAGCTGGCAGCATTCTTGAGTGACGATGAATGTGGTAAGTTCACTCTTCCTGCTGGGGAGGGTACAGGGTCAGAGAAAGAGAAGTCCTCCAGCAAGATGATTAACACAGTGTCTGGAACAAGGGGCTCAAACGTGGCAAAGATCATGAGGAGGTGCAGGGAAGGTGAAGGTTCTGGTCTGTTGTTCACAAGGTTGTTATGGGTCAAAGGCCACTTGAGGGCACTTAACAAAACAAAACAAAACTCATACATAGTTTGCGAGGTTAAGTTGGTCATAAATGAGGCATTGAAAAGAGACTACCTAAGTAGAGGGTCAGAAAAAAAGAAAAAACAAAGACCCTCAATGGGTTGGCTCGAAATGGCTTGAATAGTGGCTGCAACAATGGGCTCAAATATAGCATTGATTGTGAAGATGGCGCATGATAGAGCAGGTTTCCATGCTTTCATACATAGGGTGCCCGTGAGTTGGACCCCATAGATGGCAGCTAACAACAAGAAGCCTTTATGAAAGAGAGCAACTTGAGAAAGGGAAAGGATATTTCCAGGGAGGAGTCAAAGCGTAGTAGAACCTTGTAGGCAGAAAGTACACTGGGAGGGCAGAGGGATGGGAGTCACATGGTAAGATGAAGCATAAAAGGTTAACCAGAAGGCAGATGATGAAAGGATCTTGTGTGCCTGATTAAAAGACTTCACTTTGTGTGGGCAGTGGATGACCTCTGAAGAAGTTTCAAAAACACAACAGTGTGACAAGATCAGATGCAACTTTCAGCTATAAAATCTAGGAAAAATGTTGGGGATAGATGGGACATAGATTTCTGTGTCTCAAGAATATTTCTCTGAAGTAAGCAATAATAAGGAATGGGTAAGAGGGGCGTCAAGACTCTGGCTATGATCTCATAATGGATGTTATTGACAGAGGTGTCTTCTCTAGGGAGGGATAAATCAACCAAGGGACTTGGGTCTACTGCTTGTCTGACGGGATGGCCCAAAGCAATGATTCTCACTGTGGTCCTGTACTGATGTGGGTTCAGATGCTGGTCTATATTTAGGGAGTTGGGTAGACTTTACTTCCTAACCTCTAACCTGGAGCTCTGGTGGCCTAGTGGCAAGCTGCATTGCAATCCTTAAGGCATGTGGTTTAAATCCACCAGCTGCTCTGTGGGAAAAGGATGGGCAATATCCTCCCATGGGATTAACGGCCTCTGAAAACCCACTAGATAGTGAGCTTTGGGTTGGTTCCAACTCAACGGTACACAAGAACAACAACAACAACCTCTACCCTGTGCCTCCACAGAATTTTTTAAAAACTACAAAAGTCTAAGGATTTCCTTATTCAAGAATTCCAGGCATGAAAGTCAAACCATACAACTAGAGTCTCAGAGAGGAAGCTTCAAAAGTCCACTCTTAATGCTCACTGTATTAACAGTATTATACTTACCACCAAGCAATGGCACAATCTAAATCTCCAGAATTCATCTTCCTGTCTGCCAACAAGGGTCTCAAGAGATCCTCAGACATTGCTTCCTTCCCATTCTTTACAGCAGTGAATTCTGCCACATGAGGGCCTTCTGGATATCTAATGGAAATGTCCAGTAGGTGGACCTGAGTATACATAAGCATGAGCTCCAAAGAGATGTCTGGATTTAGGAATATCAGCAATGAACAGCAGCAGAGGTCACTTGAGTGGACTGTTAATTAAGTTATGGTGGGAGAATGTGCAGGAGCACCAGGAGGAGGATAGAATGTAGAACCTTGATAAGCATCAAACTATGAGGATTATCCGAAAGAGGAAAGTTTCAAGAGGGAAGTGAGGGGTAGGAAGTAGCCACATGCCAGCTGGAGGCTGAAGAAGGAGATCATTGCAAAGAGGGGATGACCAGCATGGTCTCATGTAGCAGAATGGGCAGCTGAGATCTGAGAAAGCTCTTGGGTTTAATAGGACGTTATGCCCATGGCAGCAGGGCACATGAGGAGGAGATAAGAACAGTACATTCTGTGAAAATAAAAAGAGAAGCGATAACAGTTACAGAAGAATCCAGAGTGGAGAGTGAGTTTGTACTCCTTATGGGAGAAAGAGTCGGTAACATGGGAAAGAGGTGGGTAGTGACAGAGTAATGTGTATGTAGATCCAAAAGGTTGGGATGTGAGCTAAATTCTGGCACAGTGATGAAGTCTCTCCCTAAGGCAAGTAGAAGAGATGAAAGACCAGAGTTGTGTTTAAAACAAACGTGATTTGTAAGATTCAAATTCATACAATTTATTAATATTATATATCATTGCTTCATGAAAAATATTTACTTCTTTAAAAACCCATTTCTACTTTACTTTTTTATACATTGAAACTAAGACTAAAGATATTACTTAGACATGTATCAAAACTCTTATTTCCTGTACAGTTTCTCTAACTGAATGAAAGGAAATAGTTTGTGTCTAAAACTCTCCACTGTTGTCTCAATGGCTACACATGGCTAGGATCTTAAGATACAGCTCATTATGGAAAAAAAAATAAAGCTGGTTTCAAACTGGGCTGTATGCTGACTGGAGCACTGAAGAACTTGAGAGAGAAAAGAGAAAAACATTAGTTTGCAGATTTTTCCCCCAAAGTAAAATAGAATTAAACAATGAATATAAATAAACTCAAACAAATAGGCTCATCAAATCACATTTTTCTCAGCCAAGTCTGAAAACCATACATAGTTAAATATTTGTCATAATAGTTGATTATAAGAAAAGTTTGCTATGTTTACCCTTAAAGCAAATATGAGTTTCTTGTTATTGCTGTTAGGTGCCAGTGATTTGGCTAGGACTCATAGCAACCTTATGGACAACAGATCTGAACCCTGTCCTATCCTTATTATTTCTGACACACTTGCCCGTTGTTGCAGTCACCATGTCAATCCATCTTGTTGAAGGTCATCCCTTTTTTTATTGACCTTCATCAGAAAACTGGACAATAACTAGGGATGATAGAAGAAGAATTGATGTCTTTGAGTTGTGGTGTTGGAGAAGAATATTGAATATATCACAGACTGCTAGGAAAACAAACAGGTTCTTCCTGGAGAAGGAAACCAGGCTGCTCTCTGAAGGCAAGGATTCTGAAGTTTCATCTGACGTACTTTGGACATGTTGCAAGGAGGGACCAGTCCTTGGAGAGGGACATCATGCTTGAAAAGGACAGCTTAAGAGAGGAAGACCATGGGTGATATGGTGATATGGGTGATGGACTCAGTGACTGGGGTAACAGGGATGGGTATGTCAGAGACAATGAGGTTGGCTTAGGATACAGCAGGGCTCAGAGCTGTTGTTGGTTGCTCTAAGTTGCAAGTGACTCGATGGAACGTAACAACAATAACAACAACTACCTTTCCAAGCATGATGTTCCTTTCCAAGGAATAGCCTCTTCTAGCAACATGCCAAAATTATGTAAGATGAAGCTTCGCAATTCTTGCCTCCAGGAGGATCCTGGCTGCATTTTATCAAGGACATATGTTTGTTATTTTGTCAGTCCATGGAATATTCACTGTTCTCCAATCATCACAACTCAAAGGCATCAATTCTTTTTTTTTGTCATCATTGTTCATTGTGCAGCTCTCAGATGTAAAGCAAATGATTCAAAACATCATGGCCTGAATTAGGCACACCTCTGTCTACAAATTACCATTCTTATTCCTCAATACACTGGAAAGATCCCTGACAGTGGACTTACACAATGCAATACATCTCCTGATTTACCAACTTCTAGTACCAAAAATGTTAACTGTGAATCCAAGTAAGATGAACTCATTGACAATTTCAACCTTTTTCCCATCTATCATGACATTGTTTATCAGCTCAGTGGTGAGAAGATTTTTCCTCCTGATGTTAAAATGAAATCCATATTGAAAGCTGCATTCTTTGATTTTCTGCAGCAAGGATTTCAAGTCCTCCTAACTTTCAGCAAGCAAGGTTGTGTCATTTGCATAACACAGGCTATTGATGTGTCTTCCTCTAATACTGATGCCAAATTATCCTTTAATAGAGTCCTGCTTCTCAACATACATATTGACTAGAAATGGAGAAGGAATACAAGGCTGATAGACATCTTTCCTGATTTTAAACCATATATTATCCCTTTGTTCTATTTGCACAACAGCTTCTAGGTCTAGATATAGGTTTCATATGAGCATAATTAAATATTATGGGATTCCCATTCTTCTCAATGTTAGCCATAAGTTGTTATGATCGACACATTCAAATGCCTTTGCATAGTCACTTAATAAATGAACACATTAATTTAATGAATAGAACCTATTCTGGAGACCGATTTAAAAATCATCTCCAGCACGTATTTGAGACATTGAACACTAACAAGTGAACGTCACATGAGTTATGGAATATCATAAAAGATATCATTCATGAAGACAGTGAAAGATAGAAGAGAAAGAGAAGAGTAACATGGATGTCAGACTATAACTTTGAAAATTGCACCAGAGTTACGAGAAGGCAAACTAAAGGGAAGAAATGCTAAAGTCAAGGGGATTAACAAGAAGTAGCTCGAGAAGATGAATGCAAATAGTATAACAGAATACACAAAAGCTGGCGTTGGAGAAGAAAAAGGGAAGAATTTGCTGGGCATTTCCAAAGCGGAAAGAACTGGGGGGAACCCTTCAAGCCACGAGTTGTAATACCAAGAGCTACTATGATCAAAACCCCGGATTATTTTGATGTACCAAAAAGAACGGGTTGGCACTGTACAACATCAGGAAGTCTATATGAACAGGAGCCAATGGTAATGAAGAAAGAAATGCAAGCTGTACTGAAAGCACTGGCAAAAAAAGAAGACCCCAGGATACCAAATGACACTTTTTAAATAACAGATAAAGCCCTGGATGTGCTCACAAGTCAATGTCAGAAAATTTGGAGGACAACTGCCTAAATGATTGGAATATCCTTTGTGGAAAAACCCCCAAACCAACACCCAAACCTCTTTGCTATCCAGATTCTTGTGTAGCAACTGGTGGATTTGAACTGATGGATGTGAACAGCCTACACCTTACACATGATTTTAGTCTGCTGGGACTTGTACTGCTAACTCATAGGCCACAGTTTTCTGGTTTTAATACTAGTTTATTTAGAAATACTAGTTTTAATACTAGTTTATTTAGAAAATTCGAATATATTGCTTTTGAGGATAGATTCTTCCAATTTCCCTCACTACCCACCTATCAAATTGTACAACCCCATGATTAATCCCCCTCAGCACATCCTCATCCCTCTGCTTCCACCTCCGCCCCCCCTTGGATCTTTATACTCATTCTACAATAATGATTTTATACAATATTTGTCCTTGTGGAACTGAGTTAGTTTATTCACACAATGGAATACTACATAGTAGGCAGAACCAATGATTTTGTAAATTATTACCTAACTTGGGAGGGACTGGAGAGATTATACTGAGGAAAACGTTTTGTATAATAAACACTAAGTCTCTGGTGGCCTAGTGGTAAGGAGCTGCAACTACAATCCCAGAGGCGCACGGTTCAAATCCACCAGATGCTCTGCCGAGGAAGGAGGGACAATCTCCTCCTGTACCAGTCAGATCTGATTTGACGGTACACTCACACAAAAATAATAATAAAAAAATAATAAACACTAAGTACCCAAGTAGACTTTTCAATATTGAATACTATCGATACTATCCAATATACTAGTATCTTTTGGCATTAAGCAGCCCTCTTTGAAGGAAGAGCTTTGAAATGGGGTTAAGGGATTTAACTCATGTTGGTCTGTTTACCTGACCTTGCTTGGATAACTGCAATTTCCGAGATCCGTTTCTTTGCTTCTGTAAAACCAGTCTCTGAATAGGCAAGCTCACCCCTCATGGGCCCCTTAGCTTTCGTCTCTCAGAAGTCCATCCTTTTCTGCAAGGATACAACACTCCCATCAGTGTTTTCCCCTAATCAAATTCTAGAAATGGACACAGGTTCAGGACCAGGACAGGGGCGTGGTTGTATGGGGCGGGGCCAGGGTAGGGGAGTGGTTGCACGGGGCGGGACCAGGACGAGGGCTTGGTTGTATGGGGCGGGACCAGGGTAGGGGGCGGAGCTTTCCCGTAGCCGTTGCTGCTGCCGCAGTCGCCGCCAGGCCGCACGGGGGCGCCGCTGTGGCTGAGCTCTTGGAGAAGTCGCCGAGAGTCGGTGCAGGCGCTCACTTCCGCGTCGGACCCGCGGTGTCCGGGCGGCCACTCCGAGGGTTGGGCCGGCTGTAGGTCAGTCGGGGAGGCACGTCTCCCGGCCCCGCCTGTGCAGAAGAGTGGGGCGCCGGGTGGGCTGAGGCCCGGGGAGGTGGCGGGACGTCCCCGAGGAGGAGCCTGGGTCTCCTAAGCTGCAGGCTCTGGCCTCAGCCGATTCGGGGTACCCTGGCCTCGGGGAGACCCCAGCGGGACTTTCTGGGTTTTCTGGACGCCTTGCTCCCCACCTACTTTGGAGGAAGAGTGTGAATCTCTTGAACATTGTTTCTCGGAGAACAGAGCGGGGCCGGGGGGCGGAGGGAGGCGATTTTGTTAAAAATGCAGATTCCCGGGTCTCTTCCTAGACACTCTGAACCAGACTCGCTGTACCAGGGTCCGGGAGTCTGCATTGTCAGCGAGCATCTCTGGTGATGCTGATGTAGGTGGTCAGAGAAATGCACCTTGGGGACACTGCGCCTCCCAACATAGCAGGGCGCCCAGGGCGGTGCGTTTGAGGATGAGGCCTGGGGGGGCCTGGGCTTGAAATGGTGATGGCACTGTGTTGGGGCACACTGGCTTGAGAAGGGGTAGCTCTTGAACCCTTGGGTTCAGAGTGCCGCTGTGTGCCTTTTCCTTCAGATTTAGTGAGTGAGGGGCCCCGTAGGAGCCTTAGGGGCGAGGCAGGGGTGAAGGCAGTAGTGTGGGGGTGCAGCAGGAAGAAGTTGGGTTTGGTCCTGCTGATCTGGTTCCACTACTCAACATTTCAGCTCTAGTTTTGATCCTGCCCACATCACTTTTCTTCTTCCTCAGTGTCTCCTATATCATTCGGGACTGTAATTCCAGTCTGATGGAGCTTTTGTGTGAACTCGAATTAATGTCTAGCTAGAGGTAATGCCAGGGATACCCAACAGGGATACATAGTAAGCATACTTCGGGCATGTCCTCAGGAGGGACCAAACCTTGGCGAAGGACATCATGCTTGGAAGGGTGGAAGGACCGTGCAAGAGAGGAAGACCCCGATGAGATGAATTGACACAATAACTGGGGTAATGGGGGAGGATTGAGATAGGCTCAGGATAAGATAGGATTTAGAGATGTTATGTATAGGGTCGCTGTGAGTCGCATGACACATGACAATGGGAATTAGTAAGGGACATTGCTCTAGCCTCCCTAGGACTGACTTACCCCAACAAGATGAGGAATTGAACACATGGGATAAAATTTGAACCCAGAAACAAAATGTATCTACAGAACTGTGTCAGGATTTCAAGAGGAGAGGGCGAGAGTGTTTGAGAAGACCTTACAAGAAGGAACATTTACCCAAGGTCTGGGAGAACAAATCGTTGTTTCTAGAAGTTAGTACCTGGGATACAGTGATATCATCTCTTGCCTCAGAAGGGTATCTCTTGCATGAAGCCTTGGAGTGCTGTTTCCAGGACTTTTAGACAGTGAGAAGTCTCATTGACAAATTGTTTTTGAGCCCTGGACCCCAAACTGTGGTGGTTTCTCTCTGCTGACCGTGTTTGACACATGGTTTTCCAAGTCCATCTGGATGAATTGTATTGATCACTTAGGCAAAAGTGAATGATGTTGATGGAGTGTGGCCATAATTTGAGCCCTTGTTGGCTGTTTTAAACGTGTGAGATGCAGATCTCAGTAGTGAGTGTACTTTTCATCCCAGTATAATTTCAGCTTCTACAGATGTGTCCCAGTCAGCCATGGTCATCTCCAGAATGGAGGAAGGCATCAAACCCATAAACTTTCCAAAGCTTCACCCATTTTAGAGTGAAGCTGGATGACATAAAGACATTTTTTTCTTACTCTTGTCAACCAGTCTGGCTTTTGGTATGCTTGGAATTCTGATCTCAGTTGGTAAATTAGAGCTCTGGTGGCCTAGTGGTAAGAAGTTGCCATGCAATCTGAAAGGCATGCAGTTCGAATCCACCATCTACTTTGTGGGAGTTTTTCTGCCTCTGAAAACCTGCTGGAGGGTCAGCAATGAGTCGGTTCCAACTCGACAGTACACAACAACAATAGTACATACTTAAGTTCTCTAACTTAAAATTTCCACTGCTAATCATGTCAAGTTTTTGGTTTAAAGTTTCCAGAACCAGTATCTCCACCACTTCAGAGGGTCAGTTCCATCTCTGACTCTCCAAGACGGGAGAACTGCAGAGAGTGGGGGTTCTGAAGCTGTTTGGGAGCCAGCTGTTGTATGTTTCTCCTAAGGGAACAGCTGGTATTGCTCACCTTTAAGTTAGCAGCCATTCACAGTGCTGAAACACTGTGTGCTGAAACACTGTGTATAGTTGGCCTAGTGGTAAGAAGCCGTGCTGCAATCCCAAAGGCACACAACACAGTTCAAATCGACTAGCAGCTCCAAGAGAGAAGATTGGCCAGCCTCCTCCTCCCGTGCAGTTAACTGTCTCTGAAAACCTGTTGGAGGGTCAGCTATAGGCCGGTTCCAACTAGATGACACACAACAACAACAACAGTATATGTTATATAATGAAGGGGCTCTAAGTGACCTAGTGGTTAAGGAGTTGTGCTCCCAACTCAAAGGCCAGTGGTTGGAGTCCACCAGCTACTCTACGCGAGAAAGATAGGCATTCGCCTCCCTGGCGATTTACTGCTTTTGAAAACCCATTGGAGGGTGAAGATTGATTCGATTCTGTCTCGACAGTAGTGAGCTGAGCTTTTTCATGATCAGTAACACTGAGTATTTGCTGTCATTCAGATACTGTTCTAAATGTTCTTTGTATGTTACATCAGTTATTCCTCAAATAGTCCTCTGAGGTAGGTGCCGTTATGGCCTACATTTACCAGTGAGGAAATGGAGCTGTAAGGAGATGAGTAATTTGCTTAAATCCAAGAGACAGTAAGCAGTAGAGCCTGGTATCGTGATTCCACATTGCATTTTATGCTCATCTTCCCTGGCGTCTAGATAGCCCCTTCAGAATCCTCATAACAGAAAAGCTACGCGAATGCCAAAAACTGTAAGCATACTGCAATTGTGCTTAGCCTGTGACAGACTGTCTTCACATAATGTCATCCTGTTCAGTTCTCTAATCAGTTCTCCCAACCTCTCTGATTTGGTTGGTAATTGTTTCTCTTTTAAAAATTCTCAGAGCCCAAGTTTTCCAGCTGTTCAGCCTATCTCAACTTTTCATTTTGTATAAAACCCTTCACAATTGCATACTGAGGAGTTTCTTTTCAATCCCATGGAGATGTATTTTACATACTATTTTTAGGTGGTGTTTGGTGTGTCATTTGTGGTTCTCCTTTGATTTCACAGGGATTCCCAGGACTGCCCCTGTTGTACACTTTCTGGAGGTGACTGGAGGAGGCCTTTGGAGCCATGGAAGACCACAAGGCAGAGGAAGAGGTGTTAGATATCCTTCGACTGAATGTGGGTGGCTGTGTTTACACAGCCAGGCGGGAGTCCTTGTGCCGCTTTAAGGACTCCATGCTGGCGTCCATGTTCAGCGGTCGTTTTCCTCTAAAAACAGACGAGTCAGGTAGATGTTTTTATGTCTATAAGCGTGGTCATGAATATTCATGAAAATAAAGGTCCAATTCAAATTCTTGTTGGTTTTACTAATGGCAGTGGAATGTGTTAGATTTTAAAAAATCATTGTGTGAGGTTGACCCTTCTTTCAGAAGCAGGCTTTCAGAAGGCTATAAACTGCCCTTATTTCTCCCTCAGAGCTTTTGGTGGCTTTGAACCACTAGAGAGATGCCCCCTTTCGGTCACAGTGGACTCCCTGTGAACTACATATTAGATTAGTATATAAATTACGGAAATTGTTGGGACTGTGGAGATTCTTTTCATTAAGTACATGAAATGAAATCCTAGTTTCTAAAACCTGTAATCCCATTGCTAAAAGTTGACCAAGAGAAATTTCCCCAAAGGCTAACCATGGTAATGATTATATAATGATTTCAAAATTTCTTTTTAATTTATTTTATAAGTAATTAACATTTGCATAACTTCATAGATAAAGGAATTGAGGTTGATTAAATAGCATAGTTTCTCTGTTTTCTTCAGGTTAGAAAATGTTTCTGTGGAGAAACAGCTGTTCTTAACAGCTGACGGAACAGTATGTTTGGTATAAAATTAACTGACTGCCTGGTTTAGCTGTCTGATCTTGTGTGGCCGATGTATACATCTCTTAGAAAGTGGCAGTTGTCTGTATCTTCTGTCACCCTGTGCCCTACTCCAAAACCCACTGCTGCCCAGAGATTCTATAGGACAATAGAACTGCCCCATAGGGTTGCCAAGGGTATAAATCTTTTTTTCTTTTCTTTTATGTTGTTTTGCTTACAAAATTTGTATACACTGTGTTTTACACTATCCTTCATTCATATTGTGTTTCATGTAATCATTACCATTTATTATATTTTATAAAATTATTGAGGTACGCCCACCATTACCCTATATTTCCAGATCCCTGCCAGATTTCTGTTTCTTTTACCCACTCTCCCTCCATCCAACCAGATTGTGTGACCCTATGATTTCCCCCTCCCCACCCTTACTCCTCTGCCCTTACCTTCCCCCCTTGGATCTTCCTACATGTTTTACTAGATAGCTTTCTATTTTTGATGGTTTTATGCAGTATTTGTCCTTATGAGATTGAGTTAGTACACTCAGCATAATGCTCTCCAGTCTCTTCCAAGTTATGTAATAATTTTAGAAATTGCTCCCGAGTGCTACATAGTGTTCCATCATATTAAAGTACCACATTTTCTCAATTCATTAGATTGTAGTTGGACATTTGGGCTGTTTTCCTGGTCTTTGTTTGTGACTGATGCTGCTGTGAACATTGGTAGAAGCCCACTGGCAAGTGTTTCTTTTCTGGAATGGCCGATGGGTTTGAACGATGGAGCATTTGTTCAGCAGCTGGGTTCTTTAACCACTGTTCCATCAGAATGCCTTCCACCCACTTGGAGAAGCCTTCAAAGTGATGTTTCAGAATGAAACTTTCAAACTTTAAAACAGACTTAAGTGCTTTAGCAGCAATAACCCGCTGCTCCATGGCAGAGAGATGGGCAGTCTCCTCCCGTGCGTTTAACTGCCTCCAAAAATCCACTGGAGGGTCAAGAATGGGTTAGTTCTGACTCAGTGATACAAAACAGCACAACCCTATGACTGGTTCTAAGGAAGCTTCATAAACACAAGTGGAGCTTTTTGTGCTTTCCTGGGGATTCTAGGTTCATAGTCACCTTACTCTTAGCCCTGTGTCAGAGGAAAGCACAGAAAAGTCTTGGGCCTGAGGATCTGTCCTAGTGTTAGTAGACCAGGATCTTAAGGTATCATGTTGCTAGGTGAATGGCAGTAAAGAAAGGAAGGCCACCATTGACTGTTGCTAAGCCTTAATGCCCATCTGGACAGAACAGTTGAAGCAACATGATGGTGAGCAAGGATGGAGCTTTCTCTTCTGCCCTTCAGTACCATTGCTTTATAATCTGCTGTAAACTAATCAAAGGAAGAGAAGAATTACGAAGTTATCCTGCACACAAATGTATTTTTTAAGCTTGCTAAGTTATCAGAGAGAACCCTTTTATCATAAAATGAGTCCTGCAAAGCTTCTACTTTAAAAAAAAAATTAGGTTCTCACCATACAAAGAAAATTGTATAACTTAACAATTGCAAACATACAGTGTATGTGGTGTAGGGACTCCTAGTTTGTAGTGTCACTAACATACAAACACTGGCATAGTCATGAGCACCTGTTTGCCATCTCTTGGAGTAACTGCAAACGCCGTTCCTGGCCCAGAACAGCAGAGGTTAGGGCCAAGTCCACTTCCACCAGCAGTCCAAGGCCTGTTTGGTTTCCTCTGGAAACTTTGGTTAAGCCCTCAACTGCTAACCAAAAGCTCAGTGGTTTGAACCTACCAGCCACTCTGTGAGAAAAAAATGACACATGCTTCTTCAATAATAGGGCAGTTCTACTCTGTCCTAAAAAGATGCTATGAGTTGGCATTCAACTTGATGCAATAGGTGGGGTTTTATTTTGGGGGCAGGACGGTAGTGGGAGTATGGTCATTGCATCCTGTGTTCCAAATGACCCTGGAATGCATTTTCTTACATGGTAGGTGAGAAATAAAAGCTCCCACTTCCCCAGAAAATCTCTAAAAGCTCCCACTACCCCAGAAAATCTCCCTCTGCAATTAGAAGAAGTTACTCCTGAAAAAGACACAGGTCCACAGCAGAGTACATGGCTTGGTGAGCCGCACTCACCCCTTGGCCTGGCACGATGGCGCAGGGCACCCACACAACCGGACCCAAGGCCGCAGCAGACATACGTATGCATTCAGATTCTCCTGCAGTGTTTCAGAGGTGCCGACTGCCTCCACAATCCATTCACAAATTGAGCCTTAGAGTATCAGCTCTTTTAAGCTGAGGTCTGCTGTTTACAAGTTTGCTGCCCCACTAAAGAATAAAAAATCAAACTCAGTTTGACTGACTAAACTTAATTTGAACATTCTATGTTCACTTCCTTGTGAGAAAGAAGTTGCTAATTATTAAGGTTCTCAGATTGATTTAATTACTGAAATCTTATCATTTGGCATAATGTTTACGTGCAATCATTTTTGACCTGCATGTTTTCTAGGGGCTTGTGTTATTGACCGTGATGGACATCTATTTAAATACCTTTTGGATTATCTTCATGGAGAAGTTCAGATTCCCACCGATGAACAAACTCGAATTGCCCTGCAGGAAGAGGCTGATTACTTTGGCATCCCTTATCCATACAGCCTGTCAGACCACTTGGCCAATGAAATGGAGACATATTCTTTAAGGTCAAATATAGAACTTAAAAAGGTCTTGGCATTTTCTTAAGTTTTTATATATATATATATATTTTTTTTTCCTACTATACACAAAGCAATGTACATTATTTTGTATAGTCTGTGTTATTAACATAAGCCAGATAGGAAAGGCTTTCTTTTTCATTTTTTTTGTATTTTTAAAAATTATAACTGGTTTTCTGAGACCCAGATTCCATTCTAGAGAAGTGTATTGCATTCACACTCAAAGGCTTATTGATTTTGTATTCCTTGCTAAGGAGCTCTGGTGGCCTAGTGTTAAGGAGCTGAAAATTCACTATCTTTGATGCTGCGGTTTTTTTAAAAAATACTGGCTTACTTAAGAAGTTCGTACATACTATTTTTCACGCCATATCTTTCCCATTTCCTTAACCTACCTCTCACTCCACCCATCAGATTGTGTGACCCTCCTCCTGCTCCCCCTCTCCCTCCCTTAGATCTTCATACACGTTTTACTAGTTATCTATTTCTACAATAATAGTCTTGTACAATATTCCAGTATTTGTCCGTATAGGACTGAGTTAGTTCATTTAGCATAATGCTCTCTAGTCCCTCTCACGTTAGTTAGTGATTTACAGAATCATTCTGCATGCTGTGTAGTATTTCTCAGTCCATTGAATTGTGGTTGGATATTCGGGTAGTTTTCATGTTCTTGTGATGGTGAATAACACTGCTATGAACATTAGTGTACAAGTCTCTATTTGTACCTCTGTGCTCATTCTATCGGGATATATTCCAAGCAGTGGAATAGCTGGGTTAAATAGAATTTCTGTGTTCAGCTTTCTGAGGAAACACCAAACTGCCTTCTGGAGTGATTGTACCATTTTACAGTCCCACCAACAGTGTATAATAGTTCTTTGATGCCTTTTTAAATGCTAAACTATTCACCTGGAGTTCATTTTAAATTGAGAGAAATGTTGTTTTATGTGAGGGTATAGTATTATTATTTTTTAAATAAAATGATATTTTTTGAAATAATCATCATGATGAATGAAACGGTGCATAAAATCTCTTACTTCAGCAAGGATAATAGTTTGTTGCTACATTAAAACTTTAGTTATATTAATTCCTTTCAAAAGAAGTCTTTTTTTAACAGATACTTCTGTTCACATTTCACAGATCTTTATGTGACTTGAAAAGCCTTATCACACGTATTTTAAATACATATTTTGTTATTAACACCTTTGAGTAGCTAAGAAAAATACTTTTCTCAGAGATTTGTTAATAGCGAAAATGTTCTGAACCAATTTTAATTACTTTGAACTGGAAGTCATAGGAGAGATATCTGATCGCATTTACTAGGAGTATATTGTAGCATGAAGAGAGCTGGTTTGGTTCCAGGTCTGTTTTAGTAAACTATGGTTCTGTGGCTTTCCCTGCTATAGTGTATAAATGGAATGAATAAATGTTAGTCTTCTAGCACTGCCATACTTACAGTGGGGCTAAGAAGCTGGACTAGACTGCTGGGATGGCAGCCATTCATCTCTTAAAGTTTCATTAACTTTCATCCTTGGTTTGTATGAAAGGGATATAGTGTGCACCTATTTATTCTCGTCTGTCAGCACATTTATTGCAGCTGTTTGTTATATATGCATTTGGGACTGTATGGAACATAAAGAAACAGAAAGTGTGATCTTTGCCCTTGAGCATTTAGTAATAGAGTTATGCAAGTAAAGTTAAAAATCTTTGGAGTTTTTAATAGCTATATAAAATGAAAATTCAAGACATGTTACGATCCTTTTTCCATTCACTGAGTCAGTAAATATTAAGTATTCTCCCTTTGTGTCTGGCGTTATACTAGGTACTTGGGATATATCACTGAGCAAAACAGATAAAAGCATCTGTTCTCATGGAGTAGTGGCACCTCTCCCCAGGTAGCCTTGTGCCATTTCACAGGGTGACATCCTCCTGCTCCGTGTCCATTAGCACTTGTCATCTGTCCTGGTAGCACTCACTGCACACTGCACTGTGTGGTGATGGCTTAATTATTAGCTATGAGCTCTAGGAGCTCATTGGTTCTGTCTATTCCTTCCCATCATGTTCCCTATGTGCTTGGCATGAACTAAGTACGTACTAAATGTTCAAGAGAGTGAGCAAATGCATGAATAAATGCCAAATGCATTCAGATTGTTGATTGTTCATTTATTCCTATCTTTCAATATAAAAGAATAAGTTCATTTGTTTAATCTGTGCTTGCTTTGGCAGCACATATACTAAAATTGGAACGATGCAGAGAAGATCAGCATGGCCCCTGTGCAAGGATGACATGCAGATTCGTGAAGCGTTCCATATTTTCGACCCTGAAATGAACCAGTCTGTAACGAAGGCTAACTCCATTTGTTTAATCTGTAATTATAATATGGAATTAAAAATAGGGATCTACAATAGGGCTAGTCATTAGAAGGTGGAAGGAAGATCGAGTCAAATAGAAATAGTTAGAATACTTTAGCAGGAAAAAGAGGTTTAAGTCATTCAGTGAACATTATGAAGCAGCTGAAATAAATGTGCTGACCAATGAGAATAAATGTGTGTCTACTACTACATCCTTTTAATACACACCAAAGATGAGAGACTTAGTGAATTTAGACTTTAAGAGATGAATGGCAGCTGCCTCAGCAGGTTAGTCTGACTTCTTAGCTCCATTCTATAAGTGTGGCAGTGCTGGAAGACTAACATTTAATAATTCCATTTATACATTACAGTAGGAGAACCCACAAAACCATGAAGTTGATAATGAGGCTGAAACTTCTGTGTGGAAAAAGAGTCTCTGGATGAAAAGATGTTGGCTTTTTGAGCAGTGATTTTCCCCCCCCTTCATAAAACCCAACAGATGTGTATTTTTTAAAGGCATAAAGACAAAGCTGAATTCCATAATCTTTTTATTTCTCTTATGACCAACTTAAATTGTGGTTTTAAATGAAAGCAGTAAGATAAATTAATTTTTATTTTAGAATTAAATTCAAATTTTATATACTTTTCTGCTCTAGGCTTTAACAGACTTCTGTGATTCGTATGGTTTAGTTTGCAATAAACCAACAGTTTGGGTCCTCCACTATCTTAGCACATCTGGTGCAAGCTGTGAGAATAGAATTGTTGGAGTGTATGCCACAAAAACTGATGGAACAGATGCTATTGATAAACAGCTGGGAGGAAGAATTCACAGTAAGAGTATTTTCAAAAGGTAAGTCCTTATTTGAATATGAAAAATTAAGAGAAAAATCTTGGTCTTTTTAAAGAGATGTTATTGACTGGAATATGCATGTGGGGTGAAAAATGACCCAACAACTCAGCTCAGAGTGAACTTCAAATCTGGGGAGCTGGGTCTGTATCTTAGGAGACTTTAGTGAAGACAGCGGCACCTGTCTGTAGACTCCAGGCCATCTCCATGATCTAGTACAGTGGCTCACAGCTGAGATTATACTAGTATGACCTGAGAAATTTTTTTTAATTTACTTTTTTAATTATTCATTTCAATGAAAATTTACAGAGACTTTGGATTTCCATTCCTTCATTGTTGCACTTTCCTCCTCTCCCAACCCTCCTCCCTCAGTACATTACCCTCTTGGAAAAGTAAAAGAAAAATTCTTTCATTGTTTTATAATCCCTCCCCCCAGGTCCACTCCACTATGCAGCCTTTGCTCTGGACTGCCGTCATGACAAAAATACCTAGTCACATATCCCTTATAAACTGTTTTGAACCCATCTTTCTCAGTATCCCCCCCAGCCCCGATGTCATTCCTGTTTTACAACAGTGGCACCATGCAGTATTTTTTCTTCTGTGACTGAAATACTTGACTCAGCATAACCCTCTTCCAGGTTCACCCATTTTGAATAATATTGCATGAGTTCCTTGTTTTTCAATGCAGCGTAGTATTCCATTGTGTGAATATACCTCAGCTTCTCTATCTATTCGTTTATTGATGGGCACTTAGAAAGGTGAAAAGGGAAGGAATGGGAAAAAGGGGGGGGAGCCACATGTCTGGTGTCTCTCTAGGACCATAGTGCAGGGGCCGAGGCACTGGCCTAAAAGTCAGCAACCTAACAGTCAGCAAACTGGATTCTTCTGTGAATGATGAAGGATTTCTCCAGTCCTTTCAGCTCTAAACTGACTTCAGCATCACTCTCTTAATGTTGTTGCTATAATTTTACTTAAATTATTCAAGTCACTTAGCAGACTTTTCCTTTTAATTGTTTGGGAGATTGGATTGAGTCATGTGTTAGTGATGAATGCATGAGCACCTAAAGCCCCCCAAAATTCTGTTGCCATTATGTCAATTCCAACTCATCAAAAACAAAATCACCTCAAACTCAATTGCCTGGAACCAACTCATAACTGACCCTTCAGTTTTTAGAAGTTTTAAGAGCTATAAATTACACAGGAGATTATTTTTCTCCCTTGGAGCCTCTGGTGGCTTTGAACTTCCTGAGAGGCCTATAGACCTCACTACCAGTGCTCATTGCCACTCTGTGATTGCCTGGTGTATTGCTGTTGTTGTGTGCTATCAAGTTAGAACCGACCCCTCACTCCACCAGGTTTTCAGAGGCTGTAAATCACGTAGGAGGAGATTACACATCTCCCACAGAGCAGCTGGTGGATTCAAACCACCTGCCTTTGGTTTGGCAGTGTAACTCTTTATCCATTACACCACCAGAGCTCTCTTGGCAAAGTTAGTCAAAGTTTAATCTTTGCTAACTTTACTAGAGTTGCTGATTATTTTTTAAAAAAGATTATTTTAAAGCTGTATTGATTTGTCTGCCATGTTTACGCTGTGGAACGAATACATTTTACCACAGTAAAAATAGATCAAATGTAGGTTTGTGTATGAATATTTTTTACAGATAGATGTGTTCAAGGTTACAGAAGAACAACTATTCATTACCTGTATCTTTTTCCTTAATTAAAAAACACTGTCAAATGTCTATTAACTGCACACACACATTCTCTTACCAAGATAGTAAATTTTCTTTGCCTTTTGCAATATTTCTAGAGAGGCGGGAAATAACGTTCAGTATATCTGGAGCTATTATTCAGTAGCAGAACTGAAGAAAATAATGGATGCCTTTAATGCCTGGGAAGGAAAAGGTACAACGTACTTCTTTGCGAGTGTGGGTGGGCTTTTTCTTAATAATACAAATAAATTCCCAATACTTCTTCTTTTTTTAATTTCTTAAATAATATTTGTGTGTGTGTATGTGTCTATGTCAAGATTATTTATGACCTCATGGAAACAATGAAAAAATTTTACTTTTTAATATTTAATCCCCATGATTAAATGGATGTTATCATTAGTTTATATTCAACAATCTAAAATATGATTGTTATTTAGCTCAAACAGCAGTTTAAGTATAGTGTTGTATTAAGTATATTTCTATATTAAATGTGTAATCAAGAGAAAATGGAAATATACATGGGAGGCCATCTGAAAAGCTTCTGTAAAACAATTAAGATAGCTTTTAAAAATTTCTTTTAAAAAATAGTTCTTAAATTTTTTTATTTTATTAATTTT